GGGCTGGAAACCCGACAGTAGCAGCCGACCGGGAAATGAGAGAGGGAAAAAGGGACACGAGGTAGCAGAGAGTGCGAGTGAGAGACGGCGAAAAGTACGGCCTGTGAACACACCGGGTATGAACCCTCTGATGCAGCGAAATACCAATGAAACTCAGGGCGAAGGGAGGGGGGGGGGGGGGGCCCCGCCTGCCTGCGTACAGAACTTTTCGGGACAATTCTGCGCGTTTTCTCTCTCTCTCTCTCTCTCTCTCTCGGTTGGCTATTATGCCTCGGATAACATTACACGTGACGATTAATGTGGAGAGCTTATTCAACAACGTTTTATTCTTAGTTACATCATCGGATCGCAAATATTTGATTTTCCTCTTTATCCCTTACTTCGCCTACGTCATTATCCTCACCGTCGAGCTAACCGATCGAGCTGGATCGAGATATTCGAAATGCGAAGCTTTCAGAAAATGTTTGTATTGTGGCGATGATGCTTGTACCCGCCGCTCCCTCGTAGGGATGATAATTTAACCAGGTTGAGTCACGCGATTACATTCAGTGGGATTGTACGGATCCCGCGGATCCAACTTTACCGCGCTTTAAATGAACGCGCCTCGGTACGTGATGAAAATTTGAGATTCGTTAGTGCGACGAGCGCCGCGAGCAAGTTTCGACGTGTCAAGATTAGACGTGCAACTTTTAACCATTCCGTAGCAACTGTTTTACGGGATAAAAGTTTCTTCTCTCTCCCTTCTACCTTAAAAAAAAAAAAGGAAAAGAATAGCGAACAAATGTAACTCTCAGCTACAAATGTAACTCCCTCTTTTATGATTGTGTTTTATGTACGCACCTTCCATCGGGGTCCGTCGTATTATTACCTGCCAAAAAATTTCTCCGGCAACGACACAGCATACCTTTTTACGATGTCAAAACAAATTTCCGCCTCGAGACCCAGGCGAGATCTCTTGCCAGAGACGATATCCGATGCTCAAGTAAAAATCCGCAAACGCTCGAACGAATCGCGCAACTTCGCAGAATTCCCTCTTGGAAATCGCGACGGGTGGTACTGTAAAACTTTTACGACACGCATTATGATGCGGAGCGAAGTCGGCCGCGTTTGTGGAAACGTAAAAAAAGAAAGAAAAAAAAAGGAGAAAGCGCATAACGCACGATGGTTCCAACGACGCGATAGTTCTCGCAACAGTCGCCACGCGAGATTTCATCGCGCGTAAAGCGAGCGTTATGATTTTCGCGCCTTCCAACGCCCGACGTTTATTGAAAGAATTTACAACGACAAAAACTTAATAAAGGCCGCGACGTTCCTCGCATGAAGTGCTCGAATGAATGGCGAAAATCCTCGGCGCTAGATTACAACAGGTGCACGTTGTCGAAATTACAACCTTGTTCGTTACAGTAGGCGAGAAAAAGAGAAAAAGAGGAGAGAGAGAGAGAGAGAGAGAGAGAGAGAGAGCTGTTCAAAAGGACACCGGAATGGTGCAGTGGATCGTATTCTATTCACGAACAAGTAGAAATGGTACGCGTATGCACCGCCACATAGCAAAAACGCCTATGTGGCCCATGGATGCTCTCGCACACTATCCATCCACATACAGAAAATACTTTCAGCTATTGTACGTCCACATATATCCTGTACTTGGGTCCCTACCTCGGTTTAGCGACGGTTTATGTCATGGTGTGAACGCAATGTGTACATGTTTTACGTCTACCCGTTACACGTTTCTGCAGAGCGGTTCACCTAACAATCTTATTTTAATTTTAAACGCGTATAATCTTGCGAGGGATGTAGAAAATTATTATAATAGGTTATACGCTGTTAAATTACGAATGTAATATGCTTGTGATTATGTGAATTGATCGTGTTTAATAATATGCATTATGTATATTTTTCCCCGTTTCCAATATAGGTAATGAAGAGAGAGAGAGAGAGAGAGAGAGAGAGAGAGAGGGAGAAAGAGAATTAAAAAATTATTTATATCTTACGATTAGAATATCGTCAAGTGTGACAAGATTCTGGACATATTACAATTTTGATTATTTCATTAGTTTATTAGTAATAAATAATAATTTTAACAACATAATAAAATTAGAAATTTACATGATTATTATTTAGATATACAAAATAGAAAAATAAAACAAGTATATTCGAAGTTACTATTTAAATTTAAAATATTTTAATAATAGTAATTGAAAGGTCAAAAATATAAAATGGTTTATTGGAGTGTTACCCAATTAGTTAAAATATATGGGAAACGTGTTTCGACTTTACTTATATTAGTCTTCCTCAGTCCATTAAAATAATAAATAAAAAGATAACCTTAATATTTAAATGATAATACCCTCAACGGATAACAAACATATAAAATGATTCTTAATTATAATGTAATAAAAGCCACATTCTAAGTTTAACACAAAAATTAACGATAATTGTCATATCGATGCATATTCTTCGTTAATATGCAGCAGAGGTCCAATTGAAAAACTATTTTCTCGTTCAAAGTGGACGAAAAAGTAGAGTCAGAAATAAAATATGTAAACTCAAACGATAGTGGATATCTAGATAATGTCAATGAGACTTACAAATTTATATGTGTTAAAATGTGAAAATATTATTCTAATCTTACGGTGTACGGTGTAAATGAACTTGCAAAATTGTCACGTAGAAATTATCCTCTAACGTCCTGTTTCACGAAGGTAAAGGTTGTTTCAATCGCCGATAGTTTATGTCGTACATTGTACGGGTGCGGTGAAAGGGACTTGTAATAGGAGCGTGCTACCGATGAAATTAAAATGTAATTCCGCACTTCCCGCGTTGCACCCTCGTAATCTCCGCGAGTATCCCCGGGTGTCACGACGGCGAATACGTACATCACGCGGGGTTTCTCTATGCTAGAAGGGGTGGTGGCTCGTGGGGGCCCAGGGGTGAGACGGGAGCGAGAGCCGGGTGGCTTGTGGGATGGCTTGCGGATTCGTGAGTGGTCGGGAGGGTTGGCGCCGCGACGCGACACGTCGCGCCGCGCCGCGCCGCACGCTCGAGGAGGGTGGCTACCGAGTTACGAGCGCGTCGGTCCCGGATTATTTGCATATTTTAATCTAACGGTAAAAAGTCGCGCGCAACGCTAGTTTTCCCATTAGTCTAGGGGGGGGGGAGGTGGGACTTTAAACGTAAACGCGCAATATTGTACATAACGTGCCGTGAATGTAAAAGAGCGAATGTAAGAGCGATTTTATAATTTAAAGGAAATCATCGTATCATGTAATCATTGAACTTATCAACTATTCGAGTGCCGATAAGATTGTAAAGATCTACTAAAGATTATATACTAATTTAAAATATTACACATATAAGATGTATGTATGTACTGTTGTGCATACATATATTTAATTATATATTTGGTCGGGGAAAAAGTTTCTTCGTATTTAAAAAAAGTTTTTTATTTGTTGCAAAATTTTCATTACAATTACATTCGTTAGAGCAAAGTTTCAGCTTTAAGAATCTGTTTTTTAAATTACGTTATGATGATTTTTATCGGAGTTACGAGCGATCCAAGTTAGAATGCTCCTTTACTTAATTCGCGAATAACTCAGTAACAAAAAATTATAGGAACATTTTTAAAAAATGATTTTTTACGGAAAGCTTTTACGATAGGTAGTCGAAAATTTTTGTAAATTTTTTTTGGACACGTGAGAGACTCTCAAAGTGAAAAAAAAATTTTCAAAAATTTTTCAGCTCGTAATTTTTTAAATGTAAAAATTATCAAACTCACAGAAACTCAAAAAACATAGTAACCTTACGAAAGTAGAGATTTCAAGCTTTAAAACGCTTTTTAAAAATTTAAATTTCGTTTATTTTTGACGAAGATATTGTATATACAATTTTGAATTAAAAAATACGAAGAAACTTTTTCCCCGACCCAATATAAAAAGACGATGAAAAAAAAAAGATGGCCAACAGTATTTTACAGATACATCATTAGTACGTAGAAGCATTTTTTAATGAATCTTTATTTTTATTTAAAAAGTAAAAATTGTTAAAAATTTTAATGCATTACTTTTTATATATGACGGTTAATAATAATAAAGTGAAATGTTGTTATGACGAAATCAACAACAATATTTCAGATTTACTAAATGAAATGTAAGCTATTTTCATCTGTTCGCATATTTCAATAATTGCACACATTTCGTTAAAATTCTGTATAACTTTCGGCAATATGATTAAATGTCATCGATTTCAGTTGAAACTAAACAATAATGGCGATCTCTTTCCGTTGTGGCTTTTATGATTTTTATGCTAACTCGATTTGTATGAAATGGGAAATCGTGCGACATGGTATCATGGTATTTTCAGAAAATTTTTCCAGGTCGTTTCAATTTTCATCCAAATCGACCGATTACACCTATAGCCACGCATATGAAAAGTAATTACATTTTTGGGACGCCATCTGGAAAGACTGATCGCGAAGGACGCGTGAATTGATGTTATATATACTGCTGTATTTCGAGAGAGATAAAATTGGAAACCCCAACATTTCCATCTCATATTTTTTCATGACTTTACTTAAACGCTAATCAATTTAGATTATTTATTGGGTTTAAAAATTGTACAATTGTATTATGCTTTTAAATAATCTCTATATCTCTATATCTGATGGTATTTAATAAAGAAAAGGTAACATTTTTTATCGAGAATTTTTTCTAATTATTGAAAATGCACTCACATGATATTTGATATTTCTAAAAAAATATTATTTTAATTTTCATCTTTAAAAGAACGCATAGCGTGTGTATCTCGAACTATCGAAAGATCTAAATAATTATATAATTACATGTTTTCTCTAGCTGAAGTCGTGATGTGGGCGTGTACATGTAAAATCATATAAAATTATACGTATTACATAGTAATCTATGTCATACGAATTGACTATAACGACTCTCGTGTGGATGATGAAGTGGAAGGGTGCTTGAATGAATCGGTTTATGTTGTGACAGGAATGAAAATATGGTTCGATGAGCATACCGCCACCACAAATACGGAGGAAAAAGGGAGAGTCACACAGTGAGGGATCAACAATATAGTGGTAAATATGGTAAGTGAATGATGTATTAAGGGGGTTTCATCTTTTCAGGCGTAAAAAATCGAAAATTTTTTTTCCTTATTTTGATTCTTACATGCGTGTAAAATATTCCTGTAAAAGAATTTTTTTTAATTAACGGAGCTATGAACTGAGAGAAATACGTAAAGACGCACTGGGGCTTACCAGTGTAAATCGTCTTACATCAGAATCATCAAGAGAAGCTAGAACAGCTCGGCGATTGAAGAGATGATGGAAAAAGAATTATATGAAGAGAAGAAAGGATTATTATATGGCCCTGGTATATTAAAATGCATATTCATCTAATTAAAAAGTATTTTCTTTACTGTTTAAGCATAACGTAATTTTATGCAAAACCCCGTATTGTTTTGTATATAATAAATTTTCTTTAAAAAATTCATAAAACTGAACTAATTTTACGACCGGCAAAGGTGAAACCTCCCTTAATAAAACTAAATTCTATCCTACAATTTTAATTATAGCGTAGGAAATATTACATAAAAAAAAATTTAGGCACGATTTTAAAACCAGTATAATATCACTGCCCCAACGAATAAATTATAACAAATACAATTAATTATTCATATCAGAAAATTTTGCAAAGATTATTATCAATATTATTATTAATATCTGTACAATTACTTTGCATATCTATATATTTAAATAAACGTTAATAAATTATCTAACAGAAAGGAAAGAATTATTTTAACCACTTAATTTATATATTATACAATTGTAACTCGTTTAAAATAAATCACAAATGAATTATGATGCATAAAAGCAAACAAATCTGTGCATTTATAATGAGTGCTTATATTTATTATTATGGATATTTACTTGCTTTCAGTATTTACATACTCGTTTAAATATTGTGCCGAATTAACAAAAGATGTGTGACTGTTAATCGAAAATATTAACATAATAGTTTCATATTATATAAATTATTATTTTAAAATATTTTAGCCCCTTGAGGGGCACATTTTTCTTCTAAACAAATTATTAAAATCATACATTAAGATCATCTACGGATTTTCGGAGTCGTTGATTACGATTCTGACGTCAAAATTACAAAATAAATAATAAAAAAATAATAAATAGACCTATAAAAGATCAATTTTCCAAAACTTTAAAATTTTTTTTTGGTAAAACTAGCAAGCAGAAAATTGTAAAAAATTTGCATATATTATAGTTTTAAATATATCTCTAGCAATCTTTTAGCAGATAATTGTGATAATTAAATTTCTTCAAAGATGTTGATTTATACACAGAATGTCTGGTAAGTTTTGACAAAGCGGTCGTAGATAGAGCAGACTAAACTAAAAAGTCCTCTACCATTTTACAATTTTTACAATAGTTAACGAGATATTAATTTCTAAAAATTACCGAATATTGGTCTTCAATAATTATTTTCTGAAATACTATCAACTTTATAAAAATTACAAGAAACAAAAATTGTTTATTTTCTTCTCATAAAACTTTAAGAATTTTTTATCAACTTTTTAGTACTGTATGTAGTGTATGTTTTTATTTTAACCAACATGAGAAAATATGATATTACAAAATTTAGAAAAAATTTAGAAAAAATTCTCAGAATTTTGTGAGAAAAAAATAAATAATTTTCGCCTCTCGGTTTTTCTGTAAAGTTGATAGTATTTGAGTAACAAATTATTTAAGACCAAAATTCAGCAATTTTTAGTAATTAATAAACTCGATATCTATCGCGAAAATTGGAAAATAGTAAAGGACTTTTCAAGTCAGTTTAGTCCGTTTTATCTACACACAAGCGCTTTGTCACAACTTACTAGACATCCTGTGTATATAAATCAACATCTTTGAAGAAATTTAATTATCACAATTCTGCTTGAAGATTAGAGTAACTTCCTAATAACATCGAAAATTTGAATATTACATATTTATTAAGGAATATATAAACATAATGAAATAATTTAACCTAAAATATTAATATTAAAAGACTCCTTTGATTCAAATATAAATAAAAAAATCATTCAAGGCCATATATAAAAAAAAACAAGTTGTTTTTGAAGCGAGAATACATTTAATTATAATAAAATTTTAAATGACTCTAGATTTGAGTCATCCTCAGCTTAAGATAATGACAATTATATAATACCGCAAATTACAAAAACGCAAACATCGCCGCAATTTTTTGATAGTATGTAATGAATGTAACCCTTCCGGTAAGGACATGAGAACGCAAGCAGTTGTCCAACGCAGTTTTATAGCTGAGTTGAGATAAACCTCTACCTGGAAATTGTTATAGAAGAAAAAAATTTTTTTTTAATGTACACACACACACACAATGGACAACGATAACTAAAGAATGCTCATCTCACATCTCCAGACAGGTCATAAACAACCTACAATACTCCTCGAACCAAGATACGTCATACAAAATTCGTCACATATTAAAAGTTGAAATTTTTGGAATAAAAGTAAAATAAAACGAACATGTCTTTTGTCGAATTGTTGTCGACGATCAACCTTAAAAATAGTTTGTATTACAACTTATTAAGAATTTTTCTGTAAGCAAGACTTAAGGCGTCAGTGTCAGTTTGTAGGTAAATATATTTATAAACAGTTAGAATAAACGCGAATAACATTATAATTCCAAACTTTTTATTTTATTTCGATTACTTTATTTTATTTTATTAACTTTTTCTTTCATAATGGAATTTCATCAAAAAACTAAAATTCTAATAATCTTTGCAAAAATATCAACAACGAACGTGTTATTACATTTTATTTAGACTTATAAAATTACACACAATTACGACAACAGGCATATTAAAAGTGCGAACCTAATTTATATATTTAACTTGTAACGTAACACAAATCGCGAGTGTATAACATCAATGATAATAAGTTGATCTATCATATCTTCTATATCTTGGCCCATACAGCATTCTGCTGGGAAAGCCATCCAATCTAAATCCATTTTCCGGCATGGTCGACAAATTTCCGGCTATCGAGCACCCTTAATTGACGGAATATATCACTAGATCGAGGCACTCCACTATCATAGTGCCACGAGACATAATTTACGGAAATAACGTGGGTTATCCACCCATCCATAAGGCACCACTGCTGCGACAACTGTTCTTTCGGGTTTTAGATAGGATCGGAAAATCTCGTGATTTATGTACGGCCATTTCTCCAAAATCTTTTTGAAATTTTTATAGATCTCACATGCGATAGATATCTTCCGTAGAATTTCATAGAGAGAGAGAGAGAGAGAGAGAGAGAGAGAGAGAGAGAGAGAGAGAGAGAGATACCAATAAAAAAGTAGAGGATTTTTATTTAAATTTTTTTCAATTGAATTATAATGTCCTGTTTATATTAACTCTTTAATACTGTTTTAATATTACAGGCTGTTTTTATATTATTTTTTCAAAGTTGTACAAGATATATTATAAATTTAGAGTATATCTATAAATATGGGAGAGATAAATTACTAAAAAAATTGAAGAAAATGATACATGCACATTCGGGGACACTGTTTTTAACCCATATGACGTACCGCATACGAATGTGCGGTTAATTCTATGTGCGATTAAAATTATAATTTAATCTGAAGGAATCACACACGCGCAAACCTATTTGTGAGCGCGCGTAGCGTGAACGCGGTGAGTTTGTAACCATAAAATTCCGAGCGCTGACAGAAATTACAAAACGATGCAATGCCTTCGGTATAGTTTCTGCACTTCTACCTCCACACCGCGCGCTTAAATAATTCATACTCTCTCGTGTTGCTAGCATAATATTTCCCGACCTTTCCGCGCCGCAACGTGCACACTTGTACTTGGGTACGACGGCGGAAATGTGCCCGGAGCGTACATAAAAATGTACGAGAAAAATGTTGTCGCTCACAGACAGTACGATTGTTTGCGCGTTAGTAGTTTTGCTTATCATTTCGCGTGCAGAATCATTATTACAGTCAGTTTATGGCACAGCCAGTTGTAATAAATAATGAATTTATTAACGGATTGTTGAGCTGTGTGGGCAGCCAGATATTTATCAGCGCGCGTTTCTCAAACAATCTTAGGGGTCGTGTTCTGTTAACTCGTGCAAGGCACGTAATTGCGCGAATTGTTCGTTCTTCGAGAGAGTTCGTAAGCAGAGATTCTCTCCAGTAACGAGAAGAGAGCATGCTGCACTCGAATCTTCTGAGCTTACCGCTCGTACGGACTACCTAAATGCAAATTCTTTATGAAAATCCGACGTGCCGCGAAAGCCGGTAAAAAGCAACGATATTGCGAAGTCGGTTTACGTATACCAGACTCGCGCGAGCGCGGCTATACGCTTCCTAAAGTGTTAGCAAGAAGGAGTGTTTCCTTTCTTCGTGTAGGCAAGATTCCCTTGGCAGGGTATACGCTCGGCATACAAGCGCGTATTAATTAAGTTGGCTTCTAATTAATGCAGAACCCACTTCGACCGCGAAGGATCGCTTAGGATGGAACTTCCCTTTAAGCTGTAATTACATTTACGGTACACGTGTTGGTGTATATCCGTCGGCACCTCGTGCCGTACAATATGAAGCCACCGGCACCGTGGCCCGGGTCTCCTCTCACACCCTTATCGCTCGCACCCTTGTCGTCGTCGTCGCTGTCGCTGTCGCGCCCTTCTCGACGCGACGTTTGTGCCG